ATTGCAAAATGTACTAGTGGTACTAAAGTTTTTCATTTTTGTTTAGATGGTATGCGTTAGTCAAAAGGTTGAGAACCGCTGCACTACATCATTATTTTCTAACTGATGTCAGTTTATCTTTCTTGTGTAAATAAAAACAACATTATTTAAGAGCTCTCTTTCATCTAATTATTTTTTCATGGTTGGTTTGTCTAAATTAGAAGACTGAACACAATAGTTTTTATAATACCAGACTATTATTATTATTATTACAGTATAAGAATTGGTATTATCACATGAGCCATTATGTTTATTATTGGCAATACTGTACTCCTCTGTATAGTGAATAGTATAGTTCTATCTACTGCACACAGATGCAAGTAGCACAAAATTCTTTCTGAGAAAACACAGTTAATTGATTTTAAAACCATTCAATAACTATTTGCAGAGTTATTACTCTCATCCAAAACTGCAGTTTTTTTATGCAATGGACACAGTGATGTAAATTATGCTTTTATTGTTTCAGAACTACTGACATTCAGGTATGTTTCTTAAAATTTTCAACAAATTTCAGATTTACCTTCCATAAATATTTTTTAATGACTATATTATCTATAAGCCCTGGTAAATCACCTGTGGGACCTTTTTTTTTTTTTCTTTTCTTTTTTACATTATGAAGATAGTTTTAAATAAAATGACACAGCACAAAAGCTTGAATGGAATCCTACTGCATAAACTAAGCTGACTGAAAACTGATGGTTGAAGCATAAATAGTTGATTAAAATAAAGGACTTTGCATGGTTTGCCTTTAGAATATTAAGGCCCGTTTCCACTACTGCGTATGCGTTTCTCCAATCAGCGAGCGAATTCACTTTGATTGACATCTGCAATCCGGTCGGTGTGCGGTGACGGATGACATACGGATGGAGTTCAACAATGTTCAACTTCTATCCGTATGTCTGCGGTTGCGTTGGGGTCACGTGGTGAAAAAGGAGCAATCAGGTGCAGTGACTAAAAATTAATGGCGGCAGAAGTAGCGATGAACGCTCGCTAATAGGGAAAGAATGTTTTGCTAAAAAATACTTATTTCTGAATTAACATTATAGCGAAAAATCTGTGTGCTGAAAATGACAGCAATCAGCTGAATTTAGTTTAAAATGATAAGAAAAACAAGATAACTGCAACTACAGTACTTGTTCGTTCAAGAAAATCAGCGGCAAAAATTATCATTCCAAGTCCATGAAATAGCAAAATTTGTTCTGATAATCATTTTTTAGTTCTGCATACTCATTTAGCTTTAATGAAAATGAATGTCTGACTATATCAAACTGCTATAGCAAATTAGATATGATTAAAAGATTTGCTATTTTTTTCTTTTGAAACAGGTAAAAACTAAAAACGTTAATTATAAATTAAATTTGATAGCCTTTTAAATACTCCAGGTCATTGAAGAGTATGTTAAATTTGTATTTCCCTTTATAAATGTATCTTTTTGGATAACACATATTTGTAAGCACATGAAATATATTTTTAGCAGCCCGTTTAACTTCAATCGGAACGCCACTTTAAAAGATAATGATTTTTCCAAAAAAATGTACTAAAAGCTGAAGAACAAACTCTGGTGAATTTTTCAGACAATAGCAAAGTGAAATAGGACCAAAAAACTTAAGTTTTAAGAATTGATTTACTTGATGATGTATATAACCCAAAATATGCATGCGACTTACGTGTAATCCTAGCTTAGTGGGTAAAGCTGATGATAACGATGTCCACTTTTTGGAGTCGTGAGTTCGAATCCCATACGCTTTTTGCACCATGTCTGCAACTTTCTTACCTTTTTATTCCAATTTGATCTATATTCGTGTTTTATAATTTATTTCTATTATTATATGCATTAAATATATTGTTTTATTTATGCTCTTATTTATTTAAATTTTTCCCGCAAAAAAGTTTGAAAATTATATAATACTAATTTAAAGCATATCCTGTACATATATATTTGAATTTAACAAACATTCTCTATTCGTAAAAAGCAAATTTAAAGTTAATTAAATTTAAATGAAATTTAATGCAAACAAAGAAATGATTAATTATTGCTGTGCAAGTATCAAAATCCATGAATAAATATATAATTCCAAAAATTTATTAATCCTTAAAAAATTTATAAAAATGCATAAGTGAATAATGGGATAGATTATTAATCCTAAAAAAATTATAAAAATGCATAAGTGAATAAGAGGATAGCTTATTAATCCTAAAAAATTTATAAAAATGCATAAATGAATAATAGGATAAATAAATTTTTGGAATTATATATTTATTCATGGATTTTGATACTTGCACTTGATTTACATATGCTCTCAGAATTTAAATGATATTGTATATTAGTTCGCAGCAATAATTAATCCTTTATTTGTTTGCATTAAATTTCATTTAAATTTAATTAACTTTTAATTTTTACGAATAGAAAATGTTTGTTAAATTCAAATTTCATTCCTTGCAGCAATGGCGCAAGAGAATTATTTAAATTTAATTTATTTTGAAACCCTGCAGATATATATATATATATATTTTCGTTTCACTTTTATGTGAATGTATATACATGTGCTCAGACTTTGGGATGTTTATGACTCTAAACTTTCATTCCAATTAACATGAGACAGTATTAATGCCCTAAACATTTTTTTAACAAAAAATTACTATAATAATTGCTTTTAAATTCAGTCCTCTCCTGCAGAAGCGCAGGAATTAATTAATTAAATATTTCCATTTTCTTTACCTAATGTGTGTATATATAAAGAGAAAAATCTTACTTTTATAACTTCTTGTATAAAAAGAGATATGAATTAAAAATGTTTAAATTAAAAATAATATTTTATGGATTATGTATAAAATATAACTGCCCATAGTGCATTTTAAAACAAACGAGATTTCTAATAAATTATCCAGCTATGACCCTGAAGTCAGCGGTATACAAGCATAGCAAATTTTGCTTAAATATTGTGAACCTTTCCTTACAGTTGCTCTGTACTTTTAAAGTACCAACTATTTTTTAATCCCTTTAACTTTTTTATTTTATGTTATTTATTTGTTTACTTTTTCACTAACAGTACATTTTAGTTTTAATAATATATATATTATTTCATAATATTTAAGGCTTCTAGAAACACAAAATTTTTTTTTTAATTTAGTTCAGCTTCTATGGAATTCGTGATGTTCATAATATGCATTATAACCTTACTTATCTAAAATTCCATATCAAATCCAAAACAAACAATACTCGCTTAAGCGGGAAAAATTCAGATGTTCAGCGTCGTCGTAACTTGCGAACTGCTTGCGCCAAAATATTACAGTGACACCTAGCGGCGGAAAATGAAAATATTTTACGCATACGCAGCAGTGGAAACACTTGTACGGATGCCGTAGGCGTGTCTTCAATTGACGCAACGCGTTCGTACGCAGTAGTGGAAATGAGCCTTTAGTTATGCAACATTTTTAAGCAGTAAAGACACTTCCTGAGCTTACATGTTTAGAGCAGGAAGGATCAAATGCTTTATATAACAAACTACATCCATTCTTGATATTACTGCATTATAAAAAAGGAACACAGGGAAGAAAATTGTCACACATATATATCAGTATGTTATGATCTTGGCAAAAACTATGTAAATTAAAAATTTAGTACAAGAAGCCATCCGAAAGTTTAAGAAATTGCTTTATAAAAATTAACATCTTATATCTTGCTTTTCTCAATTACCTTTGATATAGTCTGCATTAGATGATGAATAAATACCACTTTTCCCATAACTGAAACACTTAAAACCTTTTTTTGTAAAACTGCTCAGCAGCATCTGCATTTTTCCTATACTTCATTTTGTTTTATAGAAAAGAGAAATGTTTTAGGAGCTAATTTGGTAAATAATATACTCAGATAAACCATGAGTAATAAGATGTACTGTGTGGAAAATAAGATGTGAGCAAGTAAATGCATTTTTCATGATGCAAGATCCAAATTATAATGCTATTTTTAAACAAATGGAAGTTATTTTTTCAAAAATTAGAAGCAATATTTAATCCACACATATTGCTTTCCCATCATCCATTTTCACTTCAGTTGAATCAGAAAATGACCTCCATGATCTGAATGCTTAAAAAATATGCATAAAAAGAAGATATTAGAAGATCCTTGTCCTTTTTTCTACAGCCATCACACATTCAACAAGAATATGAGAAGACCACTTTACACGAAAACAGCTTCCTGCAGCTGTCATAAAAACAATATAAGATTTAAAAAATGCTTTGAAAACAGCATATTCAGCATAGCATCAAAAGTCCCTTACAAAATACACTTCCAGTTCATTCACCCCCCCCAAAAGTTTAAATTGTTAAAAATCTCTAATAAATAATAATAATAATAATAATAATAATAATAATAATAATAATAATAATAAAAAACATGAATAAAATCATGCAGAATAAATCTTATAACAAATCTAGTGACACAGTTCTTACATCATGAAGATAGAAACAGAAAGAAAAGCCTTACTCTTCTTCCTGGTAAAACAAATAGCAATGGGGTATGTGGCCCAATGTCTTTTTCATTTTGTATTATATATTAGAAATGCATGTACAGAAATTAAATAAAAAAAAAAAAAACTACATTATTCATGCTCCGAGATACTGTAGGAATGAAAAAAATATATGAATTCTCTAGGAATTATATAATTTTTTTGCTCCGCCAAAAGAAAAACGTATACCATAATGCTAGGTTAACCAATGTGTTGAAATTTCGACTGGGTTTAAATGGCATTTGGCCACCTTCATAGCAGTGCAGGAATGAAACTGATTAGGGTTTCTCTTCCTTTTTTTACCTTCAAAGTACGTACAGCACATAGCAGTATTTTTAACTACATCTCACAAGGGTAAGAACTTATTGATTGATAATATTCTATTGTTAAATTAAAAAAATCAAAAATATTATTATCTATTTTATTTATAAGTGAAAATAGAAAATATATTACATCCACTGAATGTTGTTTCGAGATGTTTTCTGTATCAGACCTGCTCCTTCTAGTACATTAGTAATGTCATAAAGGCGTCGTTTAGGAACTGACAGAAGCGAACATGCAGTATTTAAGTTGACAACCTATAAGAATAAAAAAAGAAAATTTGAAGAAATTTTACATGAAAAGCTTAGAATTAAAATATGTCAAAATATTCAACAAACAGCAATACATGTTTTTATCACTTACAGACCACATGCAGAACTGACCAGCAAATACAAAACAATTTTTATTCATTAAAGAAATTGAAAATAAGAACAATAATAACCATAAAAACTGGTTGCAACCTATTTTGAGAGAATAATTAGAAAAATAAAATTAATGTACACTTACAAGCCAAAGCATTATGACCATCTCCCCATTTTTCAATGACCTCATCTGAACGATGTGAAGGGCCCAAGATTAAGCGAGAATGGTATTTAATTGATGTTGGAGAAGGTAAGGAATCACTCTTGCACTTACTTTTACAAGTGATGGAGCAGATTGTGATGGTCCAAAGACTTGGAATGAATATCCCAGAAACTGCATGACTGTTAGGCTGCTCATGATCTGCCATTGTTCATTATTATGCAAAGTAGATAAATGACAGCGAAACCAGCAGCAGATTCCAAGGTGCTGGATGTCCACACACCATCGAAAAAAAAGGACATCAAAAACTGTCCTGCTTGGTACAACAAGATTGAGACTCATAGTTGCGCAGTTGACAGCCCCATACAATGCAGGTCCAAGTGCAAGTGTTTCGGAACACACAATTCAGCAGACAGTGCAGTGTTGGATATGGGACTCTGCAGCAGACATCCCACTTGTGTGCCTCTGTTGTTCAAGCATCGTTGACAACTACGCATACAGTGGCCCAGGAACATTGAGACTGGACCTTGGATAAGTGGAAGACAGTTGCCTGGTCAAGTGAATAACAATTTCTTATTCTTCACATTGACGGTCATGTCAGGATATGTCATATTCCAGGAGAACAGTTGCTCCCTCCCTGAACAGGTCATACACAGGCTGGTGGTATTATGATATGCAGGACGTTCTTTTGGTGGCTCTGGGACCCTTAATTGTGGTAGAACAGACCATGAAAGCTTCAGAATATCTGAACATAATTGTGGATCAATTGCAACCTTACATGGTTTCTGTCTTTCCCAACTGGAAATGGAATCTTCCCGTAGGAGAAAGCCCTACGTCACAAGAATCGAATTGTGTTGGAGTTGTTTCTGGGAGCATAAGGACGAATTCCAATTAATGTCCTGGCCACCAAACTCAAAGGATCTTACCCCAGTTGAGCACATTTGGGATGCCACAGAGTAGCAGCTCAGAGCTCATACACTACCATGTCAGAATATCTTGACTTTGCATAAACTCTGTTTAGACATTTGATACAACCTGTCTCCAGTCATTTACCAAGCACTTGTGGCATCCATACCAAGGTGAGTTTTAGCTTGTTTGCAAGCCAAAGGTAATGCAAAGTGTTATGTACGTGGTCATCATGTTTAATTTCATCAGTGTATATATGGAATATAAAAATGAAAAAATAAATATACCCCAAAAATATAATTTTTCAGTCAGAAAACTTTCAGAAATATTCTCCAAAAGTACAAATCTGCCATTTTATGTTTATTATGACATGATTCTGTTCTTGTACATTTTTTAGAATTCTTTGGCCTATAAATGACCAATTCAGATAAATATTAAATATTCTCTTAGGCACAAACCTGATAATAAACAATGTGAACAGTAGAGATTTACGATTTTTAAGTCTTTCACACAATTAATTTCCTACAGCATGTACTACTTGTGTTTAGGGACAGATTTCATGGCAGGCACACTGAATTCTTGCCCTGGGGACCTGGAAAAACCCCAACTATACACTTTTTTTCTAATGACACTAAGTTTAGTTCCAGATGTGCAGTTTTAATTACATACACGATACAATCGACAGTAAAATCTCATAGCATGTTTATATTCACTTATTTATATTAATTCATTTCTACACTGCATATGCTCTGAGCAGCTGTACTACAGTTCCTCGGATCAATGGAAGTCTATTTGCTATTTTATATTTGCAAAGCTTCTCCTGCACTGCAGACATATGCAAATGCAGAGGGATATAAATTAGATTACATGCCTATGTATTAATCTGCCTCCGCATTTGCCATCATTCCAACATATATCACACGATTCAGATCTGGATTATGTGACAGCCATGCCATTACACAAACATTGTGAGATTGATCTAGCTTGTAACAGAAGACACTGTTGAAAGACACTGAAATCAAGAAAATCCAGAATAGTACCCCATCTCTCCCCCCCCCCTTTGAAATGCATTCTTGAGGCAAATCTTGAAATTTTTCTTTATTCAATTTTAGAACTTTTAACACCAAATTAGTAGTCAAGGAACATTTCATTACTAAACTTCCACAGAACTGATATTATAATCTCATGGTCCATTTTGATCTTGGTGGTATAAAAATGACAGCAAGCATCTGATTTATTTAGGTTAAACTTATCATTACTGTCAGCTCACTTTCTCAAATGGAGCTATCTGTTTCATAAAAGTATATTTCATGGCAGATTAAACACTTTCAACACTACTCTTTTTTTTTTTTTTTTTTTTTTTTTTTTTTTTTTCCCCCCCCCCACTGAAAGATCACTAGATGTTTGGTTTTAGGCAAAACAAATTCAAAACCTATGCTGCTGTAATGATTTTTTTTTACAGACTTTATAACATTATTTTTACAAAATCAAAACTATTAACTTAAGTCTTCCTGTTAACTCAAAAATATGCCAAATTTATATCTAGAAGCTCTAAGAAGTTTATTATGAACATTTGCAAAATTGGATAATTTTCCCCCATAAGTAATGCTACAAATGAGAGTAAAAAATCATCTGCACTTTTGCAAAAAAGTATGTCAAATTTATGTCTAAAAAGTATAACATGTTTAATGAACATTTTCAAGAACAAAATATTTTCCCCACCATGTTGCAAGCGTAGAAAGATGCTAAATACTTCTCTAGACTCCAATACGATAAATATTTATTTACACTTGTTGCATATCGAATTTCACAAACAGAAAACTAGTCCCTGCTCTTTTGATTTGACGGTGACTTAATGCTGCCACCCTTGCAAAAGAAAAATCACACGTGAAGAGTTTCACAGATGGCACTTCCAGTATCACAAATGATGTCGTCCCCCCCCATGATAGCATTAAAATTCCTAATCTTTCAGGTATGTAGGAACTCTCGCTCTTCATCCAACTTTTCTGTTTTAAGGGTGAGAGTCTTTGGAAGGATCAAAGGTACTCATCCTAGAAACCTATTAAATATATAAATGTCCCTAGGAAGTTTTGGAATTATAAACTTAACATTATCCTCCCACTTTCTTGGCATGTCTTCGTGGTGTGGTGGTCTGCATGCTGGAGGCGTATTCCAGAGGTCCACGGTTCTATTCCCGGCGAAGGCGTTTGCTAATTTTTCATCTTGCCTGCTTCCAAAAATACCTAATATATACAGTGACGCCCGAACTAAAAGGGTGTTGGATGATGGTTCTCCACACCCAGGGTTTCGCAATTGGGTCCCCTAAAAACCCCAGTCACCCTTTAAAAGAGGGAGTATATAAGGTATTTCTCCCACCTTCTTAGCATGCCTTCGTGGTGTGGTGGTCTGCATGCTGGGTGCGTATTCCAGAGGTCCGCAGTTAGATTCCTGCTCAAGGCATTTGATAATTTTCCATCTTGTCTGCTTTCAAAAATACCTAATGTCTCTACAACGTGTGAGAAGATTTGCTGTTATTTCATCTTTGAGATTGAAACACGACTGTCAAAAGTTTATAGACGTATACAATCGGCTTTGATAGAATTCAAAGTACCACCACACAGATTCCAGTATTTAAACATAGATTTGGCTGGTCTGTTACCTATTTGCAAAGGATTCAAATATCTTCTAGCCATCATCGATTGTTATGCATTATGGATTAAAGTGCAACTAGAAGATCAATCACTAAAGCTTTGGTTTATATTTGGTTTTCATGCTTTGGAATTCCAAATCACATAACAACTGACCAAGGTCAGCAATTTGATAGTCAACTTTTTCAAGCCTTAAAAAATATCTTGGTTTTCATACGTATAAAACTAGAACTGCATATCAACTGCAAGCAAATGATCAGAAAGCAACCCAGAACTGAAAAATGTCACCAGCTGGAATCAAAATCATAGCTGGAAGCATTACCTTTTGTTTTTTTAAGCCACAGGATCCGCTTTCAAACAAAACTTGGGTTGCTTATCCACAGAACTTTTATATGGATCCATCCACCCAAGCATTACCAGAACTATTTTCAACAATACCTCACAAAATGCATGTATTTTCCACAAACCTTCAGAGAATAATAAATACAAAGCCAAGACCTAACACATCTCATGGAAATAGAACAGTCTTTGTTTCTAAACAATTTTTCAACTGCTCTTATATATTCCTACACAACAGCATCGACATTTCTTCATGACAGCTTGTCTATCTTGGACCACATCTTGTAAAAACAAGAAAGGATAAGTACTTCAGAAACCCAGGGATAAGTTACAAGAGTTTCAATCGATAGGCTAAAACCATGTTTTCTAACGAAAAACAAAAATATTCCATTCAAGAATCACATTCCCAGAAAACAGAACTTGGCGAAACATCTGACTAGTGAAAAAAATTCTCAAGGCTAGTGAAGAAAATTTAAAGAAAACATGACTACCAGAACTGGCAGATGTATGAAGTTCCGCAGTGACTTAAAAGATATCACCTTGGTCACATCAATTTATTGCATCATCATCAAGTTTTTGATGAGGTAAAAAGTGGAGTGGTCCAAGGAACAATGGCCGATTTTCTGTTCACGACACATAATGTGAATTAATTTTAATAAATACAGTACAAAGTCCGTAATCCGGACTCGTCGGGACTTCGGCGATTCCGGATTAAAGCTTTTTCTGGATTATAGATCATCAATTTAAATCTGGTAAGATGGCATATATGAAATAAAAAACAATTATGATCTGAAGGGTATCAAAATTTACAACAAAAAAAAAACGCTTAATATTTATTTGTT